CAGTAAGAAACGTTTAAGTATGAAACGTATGTCAAAATAGTGGATGAAGCAAGATAGCAAGCAGACCTTGAGAAACTTGGATGGACATTTCTGTTCAAAGTTTTCCTAGCCATTATATACCAAATGAATAAACTCGAAATGAATTGGCAGATTATTTGATGAGGAAATCATCAGTACTTGCAGCCCTACTAAATAGTGTTTTGAAGTTCCTTAAATAATAGATTTTTCTCCCCTCTCCAGATGTTGAAGCAGTGTGTCCTCTCTCCTGCCACTCTAGAGGTGATGCTGAACTCGTACACATTGATCCCTCGCTGTGAGTGGATGGACTCTCTGTCCACGGAGATATATGAGGTAAATAAACCGTTTAATCTCCTCTTCCTCCTTGTGTTTATCATCCTGTGATCTAAAGTGTTTTTGTCTGTCTTTTTGCTGCCTCAGGAGCACAAATCTTTCTTGGACTTGGTGCGTCAGCGGACCGGCCAGCCTCGCTCTCTGCAGCATCTCTGTCGGTGGACTTTACGCCTGCGCCTCGGAGCCCGGTGTTTCCCAGCGGTCAGTGAACTGCACATTCCCAGCTCTGTGAAGAACTATCTGCTGCTGAGTAACGACGGGACGCTCCAGTGACTTCATCCTATACTTTTATTTGAAATAACAATAACCTGCTTCTTTTTGTCAAATTGAAATACTTTTCAGGTTGAGTTTGTGTAAGGAAAAAAAGTATAATTTGACCTCCTGTTTGAGTATTTACTTTTTATATATTTATATTGTGTATATTGGTTGTTACTATTGTTTTAACAACAATTTCGGCAATAAATTGCTTGCACAAAACTTGTGAAATTAAATTACTGTTTCGATGTGATGTGCAATCAAAAATAAGCTTACATGCATAGCTTTTAAATTAAATTAAATATCATATGGGAATTATTCACCACTACTACCAATAAAACTACTACTACTCAAAACATTAGCAATAACATGCTTTTGTTATTTTTAGCATTTTATATTTAAACTGGATACACAAGTAGATCAGTATTCAAATAGATAAATGCTACTTTATACTTCTACATCACTCCAATTCCAAAGGAAATATTGTACTTGCTGCACTACATTCATTGTATTTAATAGCAACTGAACTTGTAACATAGTTTACTAGATTAACATTTTAAAAACAAAATGTGGTCATTTTATAACATACAGTATGACCCATTGTAATTGATTAAATATAAATTATTTATCAAATAATGCAAATTAGCAACAGTAATGTATTGTCAATTATGTAGGCCTATCTCAATGCTTATATTGATTTAGAAATCAAATGTTTTAAAACTAATTGGCAAGAAAGCAAGTTTTTCAATAGTTTACCTAACTACAGTACTTTAACAAATGTATTTAGTTACATTACACCGCTTTTTATAGGTCCCCAAATCACCAGCAAGGTAAATGCCACAATATTTGATATCTATAGTTGTTATTGTATGAGCAGGTGGAGCAACAAGCGTGACCCGTCTCCAAAACAAGCGCACCCAACTGCCCGCGATGACGTCACGCCGTCTCTCTGTTTGTTATGTGTTTTTTAAGGAGCAGCTGCTAACTGCTAGCATTGAGCCTCGTCTTTAAACATGCTTTGAATACACATAAACAGCTGGCAGGTAAGATTGTTTAAAACCAATAAAACACAGACGTTCGCACGAGCTCTGTGTTCAGTTGTTGCGACTAAAACAAAAGCGAGCAGCGAGGTCGCAAACAGCCGAAGGTCGTTTTTTTTTTAGCTAGCAAGGTAGGCTAGCTTGCAAGCTAACTTAGCTCATTAACTAGCAACATAAACTACAACATAACAAGTTAGTAGCACATGTTTCATTACAGCACATTTGGGTTTCCTGAATATTGAGTGTATTGACTAACGTGGCATACAGAAATCCCTGTTGACACCTCTTTAAACAGCTGGGTGTTAGGACTTAGCTTCACGGCTTCAAACAGCTGTTGACCAGCCCCGATGGTTCGCTGCTGCGGAGCTTTATGTAACTTTCACACATTAAAAAACTCTTGTGACTTTTACAAATAGTAATTATTCGTTAAAGATTATGAATGTCCTTGCAAACAAAGCATGATTGTGTAGTTAATCAGTTCAAAAATGCTGCGATACAATGTGTTTACATGAAACCCAGTTTATCGGTGTCTTGTGTAAATAATCGATGTGACTTCGTTCAGTTAATCAGAATCTAGCTTTATTATTGCTGAAAGGTCATGACGTATTGCTTTTTTATTGATCAATTATTGCTTATCCTTTTAAAAACAGAAACCGGAAGTAAAGTTTTCTACTGTCATCATAAAAGGCCATGTTCTGACGTTTGGATGAAATGTTCTTTATTTCGGGCAAATAGATGCAACCCAACAGAAAAATAGCCAACTTTTATCAATCGATTAATAATTTAACTAACTTTCCATGCAGAAAAACAGAATATGTTTAACGTTGTTATTGAAATAACTTGATAATATCGTGTGAATTATTATATTGGTAAAAAACTATAAATTATACATAAAACCAGAATATATTTCCATGAATGTAACATTTAGTTTGTTAGAATGTTCCCATAATATGTGAAAATGTTGCATGCTGGGTAAGGCTTGCTAAATTGTGGCACACTTTGATTTGGCGGTGTATAACTAAACGTGTGTTGTGTCTGTTTGGAGGACAGAGATGGCAGTGTGTGCACTGACCATGCTGGATGGGATGGAGACTGAGGTGACGGTGGCAGGCGGGGTGTTGCTCCTGGTCCTGGCCCTCGTCTTCGCTTGGCTCTCGACTCACGTGGCCGACCGGGGCGACCACATCCTGGGCACCATCCTCACCGTGGGGGCTCACGCCTCCCTGATCGGACTGGGGGGCCACGAGAGCTACAGCGGAGGGTCTCCCAGCACAGACACCCCAGAGCAGCAGACTCCCCCGGCTTCTCAGGAGAACAAGCCGGACGACGGGGAGTCGGGGACCGAGAGAGGAGAGGGGGAGGGGACGGGGGAGGGAGCTGAGGGGGTGAGGTCTGATCTCCTGCTGGACATACAGAGCAAGCAACCCCAGGCTGGAAGACTGCACACTTCAGATGACGAGGATGATGACGATGATGAGGATGAGGATGATAATGAGGGGCAGGAGGAAATTAAAAAGATTACAGACCATATTCAGGTGTTGTCCAGCACCGTCTCCCCCTCCCCCACCACGGCCACCTCCATCACCTCCATCTCTGTCCGTCTAAAGTTTTTAAACGACACAGAAGAGTTAGCTGTTGTCGAACCGCAGGATACAGTGGGAGTGCTGAAAAGGTAAAACAACCCCAAACATCCACCTGCAGACTTCAAGTAAAAACTGCCATAGGAATAGATTACAGTTTAGGAAATGCTTTGCTTTCTTGCAGAGGGATAGGCAAGGAAAACATAGACATTTCTACCCGTTTTTGGTCCGTGAATACAGTGTAAAACTCAGTATTTTTAGAAATGTTGTTTTCAATGTTTACATGTAGACAGTGTTTTGGCTTGTCTCTTCGGAGAACTTTCCTATGTGAGGCTTTAGAGCATTGAACGACAGAGCCGGCAAAAATAGTGCAAGTTCTAACTTTGCTATCAGGAATTTGTACATGATTACAAATAAATATAGTTCCCCTTCTAGTATATTGAGCTTCAGAAGGGAATGTTATTGTTTTCCCATCAACTCTGCAACCAAGCTAAGAAGTGAATGTCCAAAAATGCTGTACTTGTCCATTAATATGTGTTCTCGTCTCATTTCTGCTCCAGCAAATACTTCTCAGGTCGAGAGCATCAAATCAAACTTATCTACCAAGGCCAGCTGCTGCAGGATCCCAAGAAGACCCTGTTTTCCCTAAACATCTCACAGAACAGTGTGATCCACTGCCACATCTCCCAGGCCATGCACGAGGACCCTCCAGAGGAAGGGGCTCAGCCTGGGGCGGGAGCTGGGTCCGGGGTCTCGGGGGGATTCAGGGCTGCTGGAGTAGCCATAAGCACCAGCAGCCTGGTAGTGCCCGTGTTCGTGGTGATACTGGCCGTGGTGTGGTACTTCCGCATCAACTACAGGCAGTTCTTCACGGCGCCCGCGACCATCTCCCTCGTGGGAGTCACTGTGTTCTTCAGCTTTCTGATATTTGGGATGCACAGCCGCTGAACAGACCGGGAGAAAGCACACACACTTACAGCTGAATGTTGTGAGTAGAATACAAATAACTATAGCAGGGGGCGGCACCTGGAGAGACAGACTAATCCAAACGGGCTCAGTGCAGATCCAACAGCTGATTGGATCCCTGCAGTGAGTGAATGATAGTGTGTGGGTGGCTAGGTGAGCCTGTTTGTGCATGTACCAAGATGAAACAGCAGATGAGTGATTGTACAGTATATGTGGAGTAAATAATAATCTGCAGTGAGTGAAGAACTCCTCTCCAAACATGACTTAGTGGTGCACACCATGTTGAAAACACTCTTGGCTTTATCTTGTCCACTCTTTTATTGTTGCTAAAGATTCAAGATGCTATTTTGTCCGTCTTTGTTTGTCCACTGTTTCTGTGTAAAAAAAAAAAATAGTATAATTATACTAATAGATGCAAGACTCTAATACTCTTTGAAACCACTCACTGTTGTGCTGTGTGTGCCAGTTTTACTACCAATATATTGTGTTATTTGAACTGCAAATATGGACGGGCGGAAAATGTAAAATCTTTTTTTGGCTGAAAAACTGTTGCTTTAGAAATAGGCTAATTTAAATAATCACTAGACATGGAAATAGACACTTTTTGAGATGATATTGTAAATATATTGTGTATTTTCTGTAAATAAAATGATAGAATGAATCAGATGAACATGCATCTGGCACTTAAAGATTTGGAGGAACCCTCCTGATTATGCTGGACTGCTCTGGCTTCAGTGATGTCTCAAATTAAAGCATTTCAAACCAAACGTGTCTCAGTATTTGTTTGTAGGCTAAAGAAGTAAGCCTCGGGGTTCGATTTGTTTTTATTCATATACAAACACCAGTATGCATTTAAGTGACAACACTGATCACATTATGATCATGTACAAGTCATCCACACATGCACAGATTCGTGCTTTTGCAAGAAATGTTTTGGAAACTCACAACATCACATTCTTTGTAATTGCACTCGTACTGAACACAGATACACAAAGAGCCACAGCACAACATCAGTTGTTCGCTTCATCCAAGAAAAAGTGGCTTAAGAATCTAAATCACACCGAGCACAGCATCTCAATAACAGTTCATTTATCTTTAGTGCACGTCACAAGACTTTACTGGAAAATATTCAAAAGGTTTCCACAGACCATAACAGAAGCAGACGCCAAAGGAGTAACCATACGGGAAATAAATCAAGCTTTGACAGATTGTCACGTTCATTACATCTGAGAAAAATGTATGTACTTGGCTTTAGGGACTGTACCAAAATTACTCAAGTGGGAAGGGGGGGGTTCATTTGGGCCACATTAATGAGTGAATCAGACTCGGGCAGCACTTTCATCTTTCCTGTTATTAAAAACGGAGTTGTTGTTCCAAGTAGCAAGTTGATCAGAGAGGAATGAAATTAAAATGTTGTGGGTCGAGAAAAAGTGTTTCCTGCCTTTGCAAAAACATCAGGCAAAATTAATCAAATTCAGAAAAAGGCTTTTCTTGAGAAAGAAGTGAATACAATGTGAAAAAAGTATTCATGGTCGTTCAAAGTGGACCACATTACGGTTTGAAAAGCTGTCCGTTATGGAGAAAAGTAGTAATTGTCGTACAGTCCCTTAGTTTTGCAGCATTGATGTCCATATACAAACAAAGTACATCCTTCTGCTCACCTATGCACTCCTTACTACAATTATTTCTGAAACTGTAAAGCCTTTGGGTTTAAATATAAGACACACAAATAAAGAAAGCTTCTTTAAAATATCAACTGTGAAAAGTACAAGATTAGTAAAATAGTGCATCTGACCTCTAAAGCATGTAATTTATCTTACAACTTTAGAAAATGATATAAGCTCACAGACTTATTACTCATGATCCTGAAAGACAAACAGAACTGCATCACTTAATGAATTTGATCTCTAAGCAGAAATTCAGGGAAAATATACAAGAAACTTTTTTTTTTTTTTTTTTTAAAGGAAATAAAGTTACGTTTGATTCATGATGACTTTTCCCTCTCACGTGTCATACATACACGCACTGTACATGTGTGCCCCAGGAGCCTCGTGGCTCATGAAATATCAAAATCTGCATTAGCACACAAATAAAATACACACCACTGTACAGGCAAACAAAAACTTAAATATATTTTTGATGTAAACAAAAAGTTAAATATATTAAATGGCACACGTACTATCTTAAAAATGTCACATTCTAGGATGCATAGTTTTATAAAAATATAAATGATCACACGCACACTATTACCACACATACACTAGGCGAAAAAGTGCGTTCAAACTGAATGCCAGTCAGCTGACAGACACACTCACAACTGTGCAATACAATGCTAGAATTAAAAAGCCACTGATGAAAACACCTGTGTCAAAAGCAGTCGAAGTCATTATGTCTCCTCCAGACTGAGTTAAGTTTTGGGGTTAAGTTAAGAGGGACAGGTCACAGAATTGCCAACAATAAGCAAAAAAAGTAGGGGCAACAAAAGTCATTCCTGACTGACTACAGCTAATAAAAGATGTTCAATCGACTTCCTGTAAAGGGGGGACAATTTTGAGACGTCTAATGGGCCTTTTCAGAGCAAATATTTTGATAAGTCTTAGCAGGAAAAGCATAGGTTTAATAATTGTGTTACCATAGATATGTTCATTATCATCATCATTATTTTAGATTAGATCTGTGGTTTTCCTGATATATCATGTCAAAATACCTGCAGTGGAAAATAAAATAAGTAAATGATATATATATTAAATATGATCCAATGTTTTGTATAAATATATATATAATATTGTACCCTTCAGTTTTATTTGTAAACGGTACTGTAGCTGATAGGTATAGACACAGAAGTGTGGCGAGGGTGTCATTTGGAGAATAAACATCTTAGATTTGTGAAGCCAAAACTATGTGGACACACAGCTGTTTTTTGAGACAACATTCCAGTAAAAATCTCAAATATTCTTTGAGATAAAACATGGAAATATTGTGTATTTCCTTTTTTTGCCAATAAACCACATGACTTCCCTGTAGTGGGTCTGTTAATGTAGGTAAGAACAGCAGGACTGAATGCTCTGAGAGCTTATGCTAGTTCAGGTCATCATAGATACTGGAGATAGAGGGGGCTGAGAGTTTTGGCCTCTTTTTTTTGGACGATAAGCTGATATTACTCTGAGAGCTGCTGCTGCTGCCACCACCACCTCCTCCTCCTCCTCCAGTCAGACTCACTCCTCCTCCTAGTCCTCCTCCTAGTCCTCCTCCTAGTCCTCCTCCTAGTCCTCCTCCTAGTCCTCCTCCTAGTCCTACTACAACTCCACTGTTCAAACCGAGAGAAGTCCTTTTCTTCTTCTTGGTCCTCTTAGAATCTGAATAGTTGGTGCCTGTGAGACAGAAAAAATGTGTCCATCAGTGGTCTTTACGTAAATAAAGAACATTATTTAAAAAGACATAGTTTAACCCAATTAAAAACAACTACTTTTCCCCTTACCAGGACTAGCCTACAAAGGCTAACCGCAGTGGTCAAACAAATTCAAAGTTGCAGTTGTGACTGTAGTTAAACCTTTGGATTTCGATATCTTGTGAGAAAATGTCCATTGTTCAATATTGTTCTGTTCTAAAGAAACAAGGGTGCAAAACATGGCAGTAACTACAAAGTCGAATCAGAATCAACAGTCAACTGCAGTAACTGCTCACATCGAGGTCTGTAGATCCTCTTGAGCAACCGAGTCATGTTCAAATGTGTTTTTTGAGCAGCAAGTGCCACCTAGTTCCATTATATTCAAGAGAAGGCAGACATCTACTGTATAGGGCACATATCTCCAACACCAGCCACACCGAAATACTCTAGCAATAAGTAGGTTCTGATTGTGGGCTGAACTGTCCCTTTCACTGAATGCATTCCTTACTGGCTTTCGATGAGGCGGAGTCAGTGGGTGAGATATCGGGGGAGTCCTCCCACTGCAGGCGGCTCATCAGGGTCTGTCCGTCAGGAATGTCAAAACTCTCGCTCTCCACCACAGCGTCAGGATCAGGCAGCGACGGCCTGTCAGGAAACACAGACACTGCCTGTTAAGACTGGGGGGAACAAAACTATCAAATAAATTCCATATATTCCTAATAGTAGTAGTACTTAATAAACATTCAAAAGGGCTGTAAGATTATTATAATATCTACAGCACGTTAACATCAAAATCAATCGGACATAGGATTACCTTTTTTCTCCTCACCTACTGGCATTTTTAATCACCAATGTCTTCTGAATTGTAATATGGTACCATACTTAGGCCGGTGAAACAGTACATCAATTGAACTTTCTCAAAAATAGGTAAAATATAATATACATTTTGTATATATTGTATATACACAAAGAGTTAATTTGTCAAATAAATACATAGAGACTTTGATGAAGCCTTTAAAAAATGTTATTTTTGTATTTATTGTTATTAGAAAACCAGGTTTCTAAGGGTTAGTGTGTTTTTTTTAAAGTAAAAATGAAGTTGTATTCTCTTCACAGCAAGGCGTTCATGATGAGAATTTCAACCATAGGATAATCTCAAATTGATTCAACTATATTAACAACATTTTTATTATCACAAGCTTGCAGTCATATGGGTTTTGTGGTTGCATTTTGTGTCTATAGGTGGCATAGAATTGCCTGCACAAAGGATGCAGGAACCCCCACAGAGTTTGGTGAACTGGTTGGTCGAGACGCTGCTCCACTGAGACCCAATACGGGCCGGCAAAAATCCCCTGGTGATAAAACAAGACCTTTTTAAATGATAAAGGGTCATCAGCTCAGTTCTGTTATCACTTGTTAGAGGATGGACACAACTCTGCCTTTGTGAAGGAGCTGAAAATATGCCCCTTTCCCAAAGTGTTCACAACACTGACCAGCAGCAGTGTTCTGCTCGTCATACAAACAGTGAACTGTATCAGCAAACACCTGCACCATGAGGGTCACAACACACACAAACATGAATTTGTTAGGTACACTTGTGTGTGTGAGGGGGACACTCACGCGGACGGGCCCAGGAGGAACACCCTGACGGCCCTCCTCTGTTCGTCCGAGTGCTGGGGACACCGCGGAGACCTGGTGGTACACAAGGTGGCATTAGAAATCCCTAACTCAGCGTCATGCATCGCCCCGACTGCCTGCATGCAGCCACAGGGGGGACGAACGGGCTGCTGCAGACACAACTAGTGACCAATCAGACGGGGCGGAGCAGGGGATAATGTTATGAAATGTTAGAGCTAGGTCACTGACAGGGTCCTGCATGGTCTACCTAAAAGTATGTCTAAATCTGTGTTGTTTCGTTTTGAGGAGGAAACAATTCAATCACTAGTCCAGCAAAATAAAACGCATGTTGCCACTTGTGTACCCCTGAGTTAGTCCCACCACGCATGATCATTTTCATTCACATACAGAGGGAAATTATCAAGTTTCCAGATTTAACATGCAACCACAACGTTAGTTTTTGAGACACAGTTTCACAAAGGGGGCAGACATAAAGACACTAACCTCAGAATTGGGATTCAACAACATGGTTTATCCGACATAACGCCAGGTGCTACAGGAACTGAAGCTACCCAGCACAATCACGGATATCAGCACCATAGAATAAGTTTACCGTGTTCCCACCAGTTCCTCTATGTGCCAGTGGATTCTACAGTAATTACCTGGTACACATCTTCTTGGTGTGCTCGGAGATCACCCCACATTGCTGTAGAAACAAACACAACCTGAATGATCGGCTTGATTAAAACAGGATGATAGTAAAAACTATTGTTGTGAGAAGTAAAGAACAGGAAATAAGTGAATATGTTTGGGTTACGCACCGTTGTTAAAAGGGATCGGACTTCATCAGGGCCTAAAGTTTCATAACTGATGCCGGTATTATAGTTGTACTAAAATGAAAGACGGACAAAAACACATTATTAAAGCCTAGCACTGAGATGCAAAACAAGAGGGAAGAACTTTGAGGTCTTACAGGAAATGGAACACGGAAAGTCACCTTGTAAGGCTCTGTACTGACGCCGCTCCCAAGGTCACCTGGAAAAGAAGACAACTGTTGATTCTCTTTACTTTTACAACATTTATAAAACTGTCACAAATATTATCAAAATAAGATGTCAAGTGTCAATAAAGACGGTTTCCAACCACTACAAGTTATATACTTTGAAACCATCTTACAGCCCTTTAGATTTAGATTGGCTCCTCGCTTCTGAAAAAAACTCTATAAAAAGAGCTTGATCGATAAACTTAAAGAATTTATATTTTTACAGTTCCGCTGTGCAACATTAATTGCATACAAATCCAGTAGTAGGCCTGAAAATATGCCAAACCCTTCCAATTTTGTATGTCTACAAAGGTAAAGCTACTGCGTGTATAACCTCTTTACGCTGACAACCAGTGTTCAGATCCTACTTCCTGTGACTGAGGAAACTGTGGGCACAGAACGTCCTGAAAAAAGCTTATGTTTCCAGACTGATGAACAGACACGGTCCAGGATCAGCGCAGATTAATTTCAAACATTTATACCACAATATGAGAGGCACATGGAGCAAAACTTCACCAATACACAAGAAGCTAAATAGGCTCACCATTTTTATGTTTTATAGATTTGGATCTTCTTGGAGAATTTTGACTCTGCACAAAGAAAATAATTCAGATAAGATTAAACTCATTTTATATATTTAATAACATCTTCAAAAGGGAGAACAAACAAAAATACCTTATCAGACTTTCTCTTCTTGGCTGTGGTGTGGAAATAAGATGTTTGTTTACTATATGAAATTAACCAGGGGTTTTATTTTAATTTATGAATGAGTGGAAAAACATTCTCACCTTTTTTTTCTGCCCCATACGACCAGTCGTTATCATTGAGATCATCGTTGTCTTCCTGATCACTCTCTGATTTGCTCATGTTATTATTGCTGGCTAGCCTGTTGAAAGATAAAGACAGAAAATAATCAAACCATCTGAACGTACCTTTTTCAATACAAAGTCTGTTCTGAATGACCTTTACCTACCTGCGGTTTGCGATGCGACTGCTGTTTCGTCCCATGCCGAGACATTTCTCCAAATGCGGGGCGAAGCGAGAAGCTGCTATCAATCTTTTACAGTTTGGGCACTCGCACTCTTTGTTTTTCCACTGATTGTACACTTGGCCAAATATGTCCACACCTGGCTGATCCACAATTTCTAGAAGAGTAATAGAAAAAGGCATATGCTGTAAGGATACACACCAGAGGAAAATGCATATGGGCCAGAAGAAACTGAAAGACATGGCACCAACCAAACTCCTTCATGCTCTCTTGGTCCGTTTCATCCAAGAAAAAATAACCCTGTTTCACAGCACGATGCACCTCAAAACACAGGCCCAAACAGGCATCATCCACCAGCTCAGAGTAGATGTCATGGACCAAGGCCTGTAAGTTTAAAATACCAAATTCAACTGGATGACACATAAACCCATGAAAGACCAATATTGTTATTTGGGTGACAGTTAAAAGTTAATTAGGTATTAATATATATTCTCTCACCTCCAGCCTGGTGTTGTCTGGGCCTGACAGGGGCATATCCTCCATTTTCATTTGAAAAATCTGTATGGGAAATCTTGACAGCAAGGTAATAAGATGCTGACCTGAAGGAAATAAACAAACAGAAAAGAACATTTGTACGATCACTCTGTCATCTAGTGTCTAGTTCATTGACAAACTAATACTTAAAATACTTACTTTTAAGGGAGATGTTAACAATTGTTTCAGATATGTCTTCAATCTATTGAAAAGAATAGAGAAAATATATAAACTAATGAATTAGATGGGTCTTAATTGCTCGCCAGAGGTAACATTCAGTTCAATAAAGTGTATAGTAGTAATATTGTATAACATAATATGTATAGTACAGCAATTTAACAAAGAACATTAACTTCTATACACTAGTAGTATAGTATGGTGTACTAGTTATATTCAATAATATACTTAACTATACTGTACATTAAAAAAGCTAAACTTTATGTATAATTTGACATCAATATAAAAATGATAGAATGTAGTGGCTCAAAATATTGAGTTTGTATTTCAAAATAATGATTTCAGTACCTCAAAAAATTACTTAGTATCTCAAAATAACGCTAAACTATTGAGAAGAACATTTCCCATTAAAATGACTTACAGGATATTTTCCATCACAAAGGTAACGTTACGTTTCAATTTTACTTTTCTTTTACTCGCGGTAATGGGCTTCCATAATAAACACTGCAAGAATAGCTATAATTTAAAACACCCATCAACATAATGTTGCAAACGGCTAGCTAACGTTGGTAGAACACAACTGCAATATTAACGGAGGAAAGGATGACAGTTGTTAGCAATCTGAGCACTGTTATTACTTTACTTTGCACTGTTAGCATTTGATAGCTAGCCCTGCTACTCTATAAGCTAGTTTGATGAAAGAAAGACAATTCTGGCATATTGATTGAATTAAATATTCGGATACAATGTAGTGATGTTATGTTTCCAATTTCACAAAAAAAACGTTTCCTCTTACCTTAGCCTGAAACAGGCAGTTTCTCCGAGGGTAGCACTAGCAACATCTCTGTGTCAGTCAGTGTCAACCCACATAGAACTATGTTAATAAGAAACCTGCAATTCAGCTACGTCCATCTTTTATCTTTTAAAGATCCTGTATTAAAATGTTTGATGTCGCAGGTGTCCGATACATTATCGCAACAAGCCCGCTTCACACAGAGGAGGCCAACAACGACGAACTAAACACAAAAACAAAACAACTGTTTTCCGGTTTCAACCTTCAAAATAAAAGCCTTCTGATTATGAGCTGTCAAATGTTTATTTAGCGGAAACATTCTTCATTTCCAGAGGTCATGAAAATACTTAGATATATTGTACTTCAATATAGTAGCATGTAAAAATACTTTTGGATTTAATATCTGAATTTACGTTAAGCAAAAGTAGTAGGCCTACATTATTTGAAAATGGGCCCCATGACTTTCCTTAAAAGAAGCAAGACAAATACTTCATGAAGCTTTTGAATGCTTTGTTGTTGTTGTTGTTGTTGTTTCCATCTCTTTTTTAGTAATATTGACTCTCTTTTTTTTTTGGTAGGCTATCTCTTTGGGGCTGTTTTGCACTTGTTTTGGTGTTTCTCTATGGTCATAGTTGTAATTATATGAGTCTGTTACACTTGTAATGTAACTTGTGATGCCTGCTGTGCCTTATAGGCCCTTTCAGTGATTCATTCATAAAAGTATCAAAATAAAAAGTACTTTTCTTGGTACTTTCAGTGGAATACTTAGGCTATGTCAATAATATTACTGAAGCATTATACACATGAGCAGCATTTTAATGTTACAGCTAGTGGAGGTGGTGCCATTTGAACTAGTAAATTACAATATTGTACAATCTTAAATGTGAAAAGTAACTCTAGCTGTTAGAAGGATTTATCAGAGTAAAGGAAACAAATATAGTAGCCTACATAGGACATCTAGTGTAGTAAACGTTTAAGGTTAAATATAATGGAAGCTGATCTTTACCAGTGGTTAAAAGTCTGGTCCATTTATATTAAGCTAAAATTATCTTTAAAGACTGTCGGGTTGCTAGGAGTCGTTTGTGACGCAGCTGAGTCCTCAAAGATGACTTTATTTTGAAGTTTCAACCATTGTGCAACCGGTCTTACTGACACATTTGACGCATGTCGGGGAGGTTTACCATCCACTTAAGACATTAATAAAGGAATACAGCATTTTCGAACGTTATCTGTGAACGTATAGCTGTGACTGAACGAATGAGGTCATCGGAGATAACGATATGCACTATGTGGACAGTGGACACCGCAGTTCTTCAGGGCCCTCTGGTTTCACCTGGTAAATTCGTTTTGTGCAAGACAAAATGCCATTCAGTTTATAATGTAATACATTAAAAGAGAAAAGCTGTACATTTTAATAATAGGCCAAGACTAGTGAATTTTGGTAATGTATGCTTGACAAATAACTAAAGCTATTAATTTATGAAAATGGTTTCTATCAAAAAGTATTATTTCTTTTAACAGATCAGCTTATTGTTTTAGCTTATGATTTACTTGGAATAGTCCCAGAAAAAGTAAACCAGCAGTGTCCACTGTCCACGGCTCTCCATCCTTTCTGACAATTGCTTAATACAGAACACACACCAACTGTTAAAGATCATTTTTTATTTGCCCAAATACTTGAACTACAAGGACATAAGAACACCCTCAGCTATAGAAAACATCACATTTTGTCAAATGATCAGCAGTACAAACTTGTAAAGCTTTGCTGTCTTAGATATCTCTATAAACCAACATAAGGGAGAGAATAAACAACTAAAACAGGTGAATTTAACCAAAAGCTCTCCCCTGTGAGTGAAAAACTCACTGGCCTCAGAAGTCACAGATGAGGGTTTGCCAAATGAAAGCACTAACAAAACAATAAGCACTGAATACAAAAACAGTATTTACAGGAAAAATTACAAGTTTTTAACCCCAATCATCTGGCAACTCCCCAAATCCCTTTTATAAACTCCCATCTATCAATATCAGCAATCACGTGTCTTCTACCTCCCCTAATTATTTAAATAGTCCACAATGGTTTGTTTCAGAAAGGGATGAGATTGAAAATGGCCAAAATCAGTCCATTAATAACAGATTAATAGTTGCGATGTACTCATCTGTCTATGGACCTATAAATGAGTCATGGAAATCTTGTCAATGACACAACAGCGCCAAGCAGAAAAATGACTAAAGACCTTTGGAAAGAAAAATTAAAAGATTTAACAATATCTACATTCATGGTGTTGGTATGACGTCCCCACACAGGCACAAACATGCACGCTGCAGTCACATCATGGTATGCAACAAAACAGTAAAAACAGCACACATTAAAGGAAAGAAACACACTCTCACACCCTCATATATACACAGCTTTGTGCAGGCATGCACACAAACTCACACAGGAGGGACAGATTTACATTAAGTGCACACTTTTTTTGGGATTAAGCATTAGACTGCAACCCATTCGGATTACAGTCCATAGCATTAAAAATTCAAAAGAAAATACAATTCATGAAAACCATTCAGCTCAACAAAATGATTCCAGATGGATCAGAACACAATAGAACAAACCTTTTTAACTCAAATAAACCGTAAACCTAAAACAACAGTTTGTAGAACAAACATATACCATCTGTTTTCTTTAAAAACAGTCAGATTGAGTTGTACATGTGGAAAACCAGTGTTATCCCTTCAATGACAAACTGCTCGGTCACACAATAAACACTGTTCATTACAGTCAGGCCAGAAGGAACTAAGACAAACAGAATTGCTTGAAAATCATGGATAAATGTACGAGACATGTCAGTTAACTTCGATAAATGACAGACACATGGCAATGGATCCTGCAGCGCCTTTAAAAAGTATTCACCTTCTTTAAATCTCTTTCTGTTTTAAGCGTAATGGAAACGGGCTGTTTTGACACTCAACAGAAACAAATGTTTTAATTTAGTTATATCAAAAAAACAAATGAATACAAAAGGTATTGACTGCTGTAGACGGATTGTTAAAAGTTGAAGTGAGATCACATAGTGTGATTAATATTGGGACCAGTAAGAAACCTATACCTAGAAGCTCAGTCTGTAATTAAAAATACTTGTGAAGACAAAGGAACATGTACAGAAAATACATTCACGGGGATTGATAAAAAAAAAAAAAAACACATTTATGGAGATTAATGATGTTGTGGGCGTTTCAAACTTGCTGTATATTTAGATACATTTATGTTTTCCTTACAGGCAATTTTGCTAAGATTGCTGCTGTCTTACTAGATGCAATCGATGTCAGTTATACTTCAAATATGACATGTCTGCGGCACTTTGAAACATGTAGGACATCGCAGATAAGTGTACAGGGTTCCTCACTATTAGTGAACAAATAAGTACATTTCATGGTAATGAAGCAGTATAAAGACCTTTTTTTTCTGTCAGAGTATCAAAGCATCCACATTGCGCAACGCCATAAATTAATAAAACATGAAAAGTCCAAAAGGGTGTGAATACTTTATACAGGCACTGCTATCTATTAAATGAGAACATGGGTTAGTAACAAATTCCCAAACATTTCCAGCAACAAAAAGACATTCATAATGGCTTGATTTTTTTCCTGAAAAAATACCACCTCTTTAAGAACCAAATGATAAAATCTACATCATAAATTGAGAAAAGAGAACAAAGCGACAAGGCTCTGAGAAAAAAATAGGACAAAAATAGGGAAACATTCTGAAGAGTGCAATATTTCGATTACCCAGCACACACACCCCCCCCCCCCCCCTCCCCCCTCCCCACGTCACTCCCTAAAGTGATCCATGTTCTTCGGCTCTGTGAAGCCTGTTAACAACTCATGCCGCCTGTCTTTAACTAATTACCAGAATAATAAAATAAAACACGGGAAGGTTAAGAATTACCCTCAACATTAAAACTCTATCCTAACCCTGAACCTGTAAGTCAAGATTGAAACCAACGACGTCACCGAACTAGTTTTTGGCATAACGTCAGCGGCCCGTACTGTGAGATGCCAATCACAGCGGGGGAGGGGATGAAACTGATTTTGGACATAGGGGCGGAGTCCCTCAATGAGTAAGATCACCATCAGCGACATTGAGTGGGTGAGTGAGGTGGATGAGGCAGTGCGGGGCTCCCTCTGGTGGGCGGAGGAGAGCAGGGTTGGCACAGTGGCAGAGCTCCTTTGACTCTTGGCTCAGCTCAGCGCTGCTCAGTTTGTCTCACGAAGACGTCGGCAAGTTTCAGTCCGAATCAGAGTCCGACGACGCCTGCGAATTCGAATCACTGCTGCTGTCCTCTGACTTGTTCTCCTTATCTTCTGCCTTGTCGTCGTCGTCATCTTCTTCATCCTCATCGTCATCATCCGCCTCCTTCTACATCAAACAAAAAGTAAAGTGTTTTTTTTATAGCACAATCAACTTCCAATTATTTTTGGTATCTGTGTTTGATGGCAGTGAGAGACAACAATCACCTCATCATCCTCGTCGTCATCCTCGCTGGATGAGGATGATGAGGTGGAAGCCTTTTCCCGCACATCTTCTTCATCGTCCTCCTCTTCCTCCGTGTCCTGTGGGAAGAGAGATTTTCAGGTATGGCCACACATACAAATGAAACATTGTCAACACACGGATAATTGCCAATTCTTATTGTGTCGTGTAAAAAAAACATGAAAAATGCAGTTTAGGCAAAATTCTCAAGTATGGAGAACTCTTTTCTCATATTAAAGTGAATATCTTTGAATTTTAAACATTATAAAAGCAGACATTTAAAGACATCAACTTGGACAAGGAACTAAAAACTAGGATGGAGTTAGCGACTGATTAATATAGAAAAATAATAGGCAGATCAATACATAATTTGAGAATCATTGATGCCAACAGCATCAAAAAGACAGACTTTGCTTACAGATTTCTTGGCCTTTGCCACGGGGCCTCCTGGTTTTGCTGTAGTTCTTCTTTTCTGAAATGTAGAAATGCAGATAAACAGTTTAAAAAGTGTCAACGCGAGATATAACTGCATTACAATTTCTAATCCAGTTTGTGACGGCATAGTCAGTGCTAACCATGACAGTGGAGTATTAAACGTACTTGTGAATTATATTCTTTGTAGGTGTTTCTCTCTTTTGAAGACAAGCTCTGTGGAAGAATGAAAGTGTACATTAGATAAGTCAAGTACCCAACATGTCTTGAAAAATGTGCCCCCTGTACAAACAACCCGTTCTTACACCGAGCCACTGTTCCAGAAGGACTTTGTACTGCCTCTGCTTCTCCTCTGCGATCTTCTTGTAGCAGTCTTTGTCCTTCGGTGTACACCTCTGCCAGCTGGCGCCGATCTCTGTCATCCGCTCTTTCATTGGGAGGTGATTCAGTTCTCCGTTGGACAGCATCTCCTGAGAGAACTTCTGATACCCGTTTCTAGACAGACAGAAGCAAGCGACCACAACTTTTAGGTTTCAGTATAATACCCACAAAAAGGCAGCACAGACAAGTTGGATGTTTCAGACTTACGATGGTGGTTTCTTGGGTTCACCCTCAAATTTCATCTTCTTCCCTGCGCCGATGGTAGCAGCAGGTGAGCGCATCTCACACAGGTCTCTCTGTTGAGAGGTAAGTCAACTGTGAGCGGTTTCTAGAACTGATACTTAAAAAGGAAAGAAGCAACAAAAATGGTCCTAAACTAAATAAATATCCTTCCTTTAGCCATAATATATCTCAACCTAAAGGAAAAAGCCTGAATTTCTGTCAAACTCCTATTCCAGAAGATGGTGACCGGAGAGTGGTAGTGAAGTAGTCAAAAATAAAGATATTGCCATTTCCACGCAGTTCTCCAACAATATCATTTGTAAAGTAAATGTAGCTTTATACTTGACATTACACCTAGCTATAACTCAAACAAACTAAATTTAAAAAACGAAACCTTCATGAATAAACTGGAACACCTTCAATCTAACAAACAAAAATACTTCTAAACTTAAATGAAATCAAAGATCAAAACTAAAAACGTATTGAAATGTAAAACCTTGCTGTAAACAGATACTGTGGAGCTCTTCTCAGAGAATTGACACTAACCTCGTATCTTTTCTGGTCCTCTGCAGCCTTTTTGATCCACATGATTTTCTCTTTTTTCTCCATAATGCTCCAGGTTGCTTCCATGGCTTTCTGTGCCTTTGGCCGGTCACTCTGCAAAACACAGGTCTATATTAATAAACTTGTGCGGAATATCTTGTGAGTTTTCCAGCAGTATATTTGTGTTCTTGAGAAAGGTATTGATGCGCACCTTGAATCTGGCCAGGTAGTCTCCGATGACGCTCTGCTGCCAGATGTCCTGAGCAGTCTTGGGGGGGTCGGGCAGTCGAGTACGATCCTCTTTCTCCTTCTTCTCCGACTCTGCCTTCAGGACCGTTTCTAAGCGCTTATATTTTTCCTAAAAGACAAAGACAACAAGATCTTATGAGAAAGAAATTGAAATTAATGATATATATGATTTTGTCTTCCCTCTAGGCATCTACACTATTGCCTGATATTCCTTATACAATATCACCTTACCTTCTTCTTATCGGGCAGCTCGTTCCACATGCGAGCCAGGAGTCTTGTGATCTCACTGTCAGAAACGTCCGGACGCTCCTGTTGCATTTTGAGACGCTTCTCCTCAGAGAAGATGAACATGGCTGAAATTGGCCTTTTGGGTTTCTCTGGATTGGCCTACGGGTGATAAAGAAAGAGTGTGAAAAGGATACTACAACACCCAATATAATATGAAATGGTTTAAAAGTATGTAGAAACCAAACATGTAGGGAATGGGATTCAAGCTTAAAGTGATTTGATATAAAGTCTAATTTCTTTGGATAAAATAATTTGGTTGTGATCAAATTGGTTAGCTAGAAAAGGGGAAACATTTAGCATCTGAGGAAATGTGAAGAGTGTATACTTGATCTTACCTTTGCTCTGGAGGCATTCTTTTTTGCCGCAGGACTGTTGGCTCCGCCTCTCTTAAAGCCTAATTTATCCTCAGACAAAACTCGGTTTTGTTCCTCCTCTGACAAACTCTAAAGGTACAGCAGAGGATATACACATGAGGAATTATTGAAGCAAAGTTCTACACACTTATTAGGTCATTGATAGCTGCAACAAAATACTTGTTAGATGTTGGATATAGAAAAGAATTAAGACTTACACTGAGAAATACGTGCATATCGATTTCAAAGTTCTTCTTCCTCTAAAAATACAAATGACATTTATTTTAAAACTCAGAGTACTGTTTTTGTTTGATCTTTCCTTTGTTATCTGACAGGATGATTCTAGACTGACCTGTTCACAGCGTTTCTGGTAAGCATCCTTCTCAATCTGTTTCAACAGCTTCCACCGCTGGCTACACATCACCATGCGCTCCGTGCTGGGAACGTCCTTCATGCTTGACATCAACTCCGCACAGAACATCGAGTAACCATTTCTGAAGGAAACACAAACATTATGTTCAAGAGCCATCCCCAAATCACACAACTCATTGACAGCGGAGCAGCCAACAGTCAGTGAATTTGCAGCTGTGACTCACGGAGGAGGTTTGTCAGGTCGGCCTTCAGATTTGTCTTTCAGGTGCCTCTCTGCCTTGGTCAGGGTGGACTTGGAGATATCCCCTTGGGTCATGTTTAACTCCGGGTGCTGCTGGATGTACCCCCGCATTGTCTCCTAGAGTATTGCAAACAGTCAACAATGTGGAAAGATGGACTGTATGCCATCATAGCAGTTCCTGATTCTTCCACAATAGCTAATATATTTTAACCAACATCATATCACACACACCACAGTAGTCTTACCTCGTAAAGTTTCTGCTGCTCTAGGGATTTGGCAATCCATTTGAGTCTCTTCTTGTCAGACAGCTGCGTCCACTGTTTGCCAAGACTCTCCTTAATGTCTTTGGTTGTTGCCTGGTTTCGAACAAAGTAGACATCCGTCACATCATACAATTATGTATTATACATGTTGGCTTTAAAGCAGGCTGGGGGAGTAATGCAATACACTCATTATTTGCGGAGTAATGTGCAAGTTGTCGCAAAGCATGTTTTGTGAGCGGTATTGCAGCCTGAAAATACTTCAGTAACCAAGTGACCTTACTTTAATGTTGTGATGCTTGGATCAAGTTACTGATTGCATTTAGGTCATTAGAAATCGTATCAGACTATATTTTGTGAAGTAACTCCCCGACCCTGTTTTTAAATGTCTTGACTTACATCCGGGCGTGTCTTGAGGACCGCCTTCTTTTCGTGGTTGTACCACAGCTGTTGGGGTGTCCTGGGCTTTTCTGGTGCATTTGAACCTTTCTTCGTCATGCTTTCCATTAGGTCCGGGTGTAGTTCTCTATATGTACACAACAATTAAGGACAGTTGTCGTCTTTAATAATGCTTCAGGTGCAGATCTAATATCCCCAGTGTTAATATAAATGTAAATATTAACAATAGTAACACATAATCTTACCTGAACTTCGCCATGCTGTGCGCAAATGTTTCTTTGTCTCTTAAAAAGTCTTCGACATACTTTTTCTGTAGCCACGAGGAAGAAGAAAAAACAAGGATTCAATTAGAAACGGACAAGTTGAACATCACAATTTTAGCTGCACCTCAGATCCATGCTTTTAGCTGACCTTCTTTTTTTCCGGAAGCTCTCTGTACTTCTTGGAGAGAATTTTAGTAAGGTCTAGGTTGCTCATCTCGGGGTGCAATTTTGCGTATTTGGCCCTCTTTTCCATGAAGAAGCGGAAGTATGGAGTCAAGGGCTTCTTGGGGAAATCTGGGTGTTTCTGTATATCATGTGGGATGGGGAATAAAGTGAAACGTCACATGAGTTTTATTCACAACTGCTACTTGTTTAAAGGTCCCATGTCATGCTTTTCCGGTTATTACCTGTCCCCTTGTGTGTTATGAAGGTTTTTATGCATGTAAAACGGTCTGCAAAGTCACAAACCCTCAAAGTACACCCTGTAGCGAGTAAAACTCGAACACAGAAAATACCTGTCTATGCTGCCCCAGAACGCCTCGTTGGAGATTTCTCTTTTTCTTCCTGGTACTAAGTGACGTAACGATGACCCACATGGACCAATCCGTGGAGCCGTTACGTTACGTCCGCGGAGCCGTAAATTGACCAATCCGCGGACTGCCTCACACACACACAATCTTTTCTCAGCTGCAGCTCCGTTGATTTCTCCTCCCTAAGACGGCGAGGCTGTGAGTCGGTGTGTGTGAGCACACACACAAACTCCCAGCCAGGCTGCGCGTGTGTGTGTTCGGGCTGGGTTTCGCTGTCGGCCACTGGGCTCATAGGGAGGGGGGGCAGGAGCTCCAACAAGCCGTTTAGGACAGAGTGAATACACATACTATACAGAGATGCTGTATGAGAAACCAATGCGATTTTGGAAAATTGCACAATATAAATCTATTTTGGTATACCTCAACAATGGAATTATGATCAGTAGAAATAGCCATGACATGGGACCTTTAAGAGTAGAGTCAAATGAAATGTTTAACAAACCTTTAGTTTTTTGCCCTTGTATGGGTTCTTGATATAGTCCTGGGCATCAAATATCAGTTCTGTCAGAGTCCGGAATTTACGAATCTATAATTAAGAAAAGTATTTTTTTTAAAAAACCATTTGGTATCAAACCAACAAAATCCGACTGTTGCAATCCTCACAAATACTACATTACTACAAATACTACATTACAAACTTAAACTGACTCACCTCTTTAGAGACCTCCGACCACTTCTGCTTACACATCTCTGCTGTGAAGGAATTGAAGGCCACCTTCGTCCAGTCAAGGTGGGACTCTGATGTTTTGTATTTGGTCAGGTCCTTCTGAGGCAGGGCCAGTTTCATGGCCTCCAGCAGTTTTAAGAGGTCGTCCTGTGCCCAAACTGTAATAACACAAAAATGATCATTCTGCTTATCCGACTCCTTAGATACAAAACTAGTTATACTATCCTTTGTGTGTCTAAAATGTTTTCCAGTTAGGGATTCCCTATTGAAACAAGTCCATATTATATAAATACAGTGATTTTATAGTATGATATACAATAAAATACTCGGTTATTAATGAATAAATCATGCATTCCAGGGTTGTTTACTCTCAAAAGGGTGTCATCGCTATAATTGCTACAATAGGGTTTTAATTATAAATGTCTGTAAAACTAGTTTGCAATTGTTTTTCCATAGAGCAACTAATCAATTTGTCTGAATTGTTTGACGTTCTATGCTACAGTGACCTGTAAAGTAAATGACATAATATGCATTATTTTAGGCTTATACCAAGTTTTCACAATAGCAAATGTACTGTCATTGTGGGAGTGTTAAGAATAATAAAATGATGTCCATACATGTCAATACCACACCTTTGTCTTGGGTGGTTGCCTCCATGGCTCCATTCATTTGTGGTTATGCAGTGTTCAATCTACAAAATACAACAGAAAAATCAAATTATCAAACATTTATAGAGAGACTAATAAAGAAATAAAAGCATTGCAATACATTATATGACGGTCATACTTTGCTCATATAACAAGAAAAGCTTAATTTTTTTTTTTCAAAATCACATTTTATGTTTTATATAATTTTCGTGAGTATATTAATCATAGAAAGGGACATGTGTCTGTGATATACAAGAAACAACTATGATGAATTAAAGTGGTGGAATTTAAATTTCCCTTGACATAATGGTTTATGTTCATTACACCGCCCCTTAAACGTTTACGCTACATGGTGAGACATAGGCTTTTGCTTGTGACGGCTTCAAATCTCAAATAACACTGCAGAGGGCTTCAACTGGCACAACTAGACAACTGCAGTCTCCGTCGAGCAAATTTCACCAGCCGGAAAATAACGTATTAGTACCGTCCTATAGTCCACAACTAAAGTATCGTGAACACACAGGAGCGACCATTTTCTCGTCCGCTCCGCTCGGTAATGGAGGGTTTTCTGTCGAGGTTGGGGAGGATCCACGGAAGGAGGAAGCGAATGGACGTGGACAGACAGGCAGCTGTAGGCGACCAGCTGACCACGGACGAGGGATCTGCTTTCGGTCTCCGACGAGGGGGAATGGTGGCTTGGAAGCACTGCAGCCAAATGCGCCACTCGGAAGAGGCGCCTCATCACCGAAGGACGCGGATCTAGATCCGCCATGCAACCCTATAATCTTTTCCTTAACCGTTGACTAAAACTGGACCCAGGAAACCAATATAATATTCGCTTACAGTAAATAAATGTGTTTTAAGAGTATTTAAAGACCGCATTATTAAGGTTTTTGGCGTTTAACATCGAGATTTTAGAGCAAAACCCAGAGCATTCTTCAGCGAGGCGTAGCCGAGCTGTGCTCCAATGATGGCGGCTGCTTGTTGTTCATCGTGTCCTTGATGGCCCCAGCTCACTGTGGTGTTCACGATGTGACCTAGCTACCTTACAACAATCGATTTCACCATTTATGTAACCAAAAAGCTTCCATAACGTACATCTGGAGAGTTTTGAACATTACATATTTAACAATTTCATAAAGATTACAACATATGGAAGAGTAAAAACTCGAGATCTGAGACAATACGGCCAAGGGCAAATTGGAACACCAAGTGAAGCTGAAATCTTGACTTCTAATATATTTCAAATAGCCTACATATTTTTGACACTTAACATTTGATACAAATATTGTCTAAATCTTTGCGTGTATGCATTTAAAAAAGATCTCCCGGAGGTAGACAGATTGACTGTTACATATAAGTTAAAACAGTTGATTAACGGTTATATTGTGAGATAACGTTAAACGTCAACCTATGTTAAACTTAACGGTATTTTTATATTATTTTTTTCAACACATTTTCATGCCCAGGATACAGCTCGTGGTGGTCGGTTGGAGGGACTTGCGGAGGCGCAGCAAGAAAGAAGGAATCGGAAAATATTTTGTAACGGTCAAACGTAACAACCTCGTGATACTTTGCGAGCTAATTCGTTTAAACAGTAGCTGGTTGAGGTTTTGGCTACAGTACAACGAGGTTCAACTGTACCTACATTTTAAGGTAAACGCTAAAAGGAAACATGTTAACAACCGAGGCTGAGAAGCTTCACTGGCGCGACAAACAGCTCCAGGTCCGCCATGCTTCAGCTCTGATCTAAGGAAACCTACCGTGACAAGGTCCAATGGCGCACTGCAAACACAAAACACGGAGCTTAAAACTAAACCCAGGGCGTTGCAGACTCCCTTCCCTCGATCCAAAAAGCGTATAAACGAGAACAAGAAGGCGGGTTCTCCGAGCTCGGTCGTCGGTGTTCCAGGGCTAGTCAGTGAGAGAGAGAGGGGGAGAGAGAGGGCGAGTCTCTGCACGGTGAGATATTAAACCGAGATCCCTGATGGCTAACCGAGAGAGGCGGCTAGCTGTTCCGCCAACAGCCGCATGGAGGTCTCCGCGCGGAAACCACCGTGCATTTCCACACGAAAATACCCCGGTTACAGTACAAATAGACGATTTTAGATTACGGGAATTAGTATAAAAAAGTATCTTGATGTAATTTTTTAGCAAATAACATATTTACCTCCGGGTGTTACATGCAATTTCCCCCGCTGGATAGGACAACAAATTCGGCTATGGCCGACCTCGTCTGTACCCTGCCACAGCGGTCGGATTGTTTCGCTTCTACAAAGGCTGCCAACATACGTGCTTTATTAGTAAACAAAATCAAACATTAAAGGTCGATTTTGCGGCTATAAACGCTAATTGTTGTTGGTTTATCGCGCACTTTCATCCCATTATGAAACCCCGCGGTTGTTCAGTTGGCTTACCTGTCTCTCGGCGTGAGCTTCGGTGTCGTTGTGGAGGAAGAAGGGGAGGGTTGAACGATAGCCAGCACTGCGCCGTCGGTCCTGGGCTCCAGTCCCCGCAGAGATGGTCCTTCCCCCCCGCCTCCATCTCACTCGCCGTCTCCCTCCACTCAACGCACAGCAGCTCCTCTCTCTCCATCCAACCATTTCGCTACGCGGAGACATCCATTTTTTCCTACCTCGCATCGTTGTTTCTGAGCCCAACCGAGCGATTACTACTTTACTCCCATAGACCGGCCATGTCTGTTCTTCAACCCGCAATATTTAATCGGGAAAGTTTCATAAGAGCCAACGTTTTTTTAATGTGTGTCTAATTTAATTGAAACCAACAAATCTCACATACAATAATAACTTAATATTTTTTAAATTAAATATAAAAAAAATAATTTAAATCTTTTCGCTTATAAACGTCAGCTTCCAACTTGAAACTATTCAATTGGTCCACCAGTCTTCATTTACTTTCACATTGCTCGATTCCTGTTTTAGCAAGTAGTAAGAGGCTGTTTGACAGCTTCATTTTGGCCCAGCATGTTGTTTCTTTTCAACTCCACCTTGCGTGTTTGTGGGCGGATCTCCCGGCCGTCCAATCCAGTCGGTGCGATTCAGGGAAAACAAATGACTTTCAGGCACTCGGCCTTGTTAAACTGTGCTGCGTTCCCTTGCTGTCGGAAATTTGAACATTATGGCATAAACATGCATAGAAGTTGAATAATATTTGTTAAGGATATGTTGAATTAAATAAAGATGACATTAGCTATTTTGATTGTAAGTTAATCGAAATGTGTTATAATTTTTTGTCTGTAGTTATTTTAATGATTTTGTATTCAATCATTTCTTATTTAATTTCACTAAAAGCATATATGTATGACATGTTGAAGTTATTGGTATCAATAAAAGATCTATGTTAAACATTCCCAGTCTGTTTATTAACGCTTAATCTTTGCCAAATCACATAACTAAAATAAAATAATCGAACAAATACAAATCTGAGCACTTGTTGACAGCCATATCACGCTTTAATTGGAATGCTGCTTTCTTTTTGTTTTCTTGTATATTTTGTTATTGAAGAACAAATGTATTTACGACATCTATGGTGTTTTCAAAGTAGAAGTATAGAGGTTGGAGTTTACTTGATATCTTTGAAGGCAGCATGCAGCTGAGTGGCAAGCCTCTTGGTTCAAGTGAACACCCCTCTCCTGTTCAAAAGTGAGCTGCGAGTGATTTGTACTATAGCATTTCTAATGCATTAGTGAAAACAAGGACTTTAAAGGATGTTTTTATTTGTAATGAGAATTCATACAATCCAATCAAGCATGTACAGTGTTTCAGGCACACACACACATGAACGGGCATTATAAGGTACATTTACAAATACATTTCTCCCTGATTATATCACCAGTATAACAATTGGCGCACACAATTGATCTCATCCACTATCTAAGCAATCACACACTTAAAATCAGATATAAGTGCATTACACATCTTTCTATACACACATCAAATAGTGAAAACTCATAACACAACTCAAAACATATAATTGAGAATTAATAAAGGTTATTGTATGGGGAAAAGGCTGGTGTGAAAATGCCCTGAAAATGTATTATTTGAGCACATGTAAAGGGCAAAATGTTAAAAATTAAATAGCAAACATAAAGTGAGGTGGAATCATTTTATCATAATATGGGCAGATCTATATGTGACAGCAATGGGATTCACTTTAAAGCTATACTGTTGTAATGCATTTAAAGAAAGAAAGAATATTCTAAATAGTTTTACCTCACGTCTCAAGGAAAACAAATCTTGCATGTAAATAAGTCAAGTGTATCAATTCAAACAAAAACATAACTCAATATATAAGTTAAGTATATAAGTGTATGAATTCTAGAAATAAGAGGTACATTTCTTTAAAGATAAATAATAATAACAGAAGTTTTAAACTGTATATGTTTACAATTACATATTTTTAAAGACACCCTATGTTTAATGTTCACAAAATTACCTGTAGTTGACAATTGATTTCATTTAAAAGTTTGTGAAACATTAATGATACTGTTTATGGCAGTGGGCACTCATCGTACACATCTACCCCAGGTTCCTCCTCAAACGTCACTTTGGCATCATCTGCGTCCAGCTGCAAAGCAAACACATCCAGTTACAACAGGGAAACAGTATGAAACAACGCTATAATGTGTGCCTGAGAGTGTCGTCATTGATGCAGAGATGTACTTACACATTTCATCTCCAGGGGAGTGAAGATTGTGCCGGTCATGACCATGCGCAGAGGGATGGTGAGGATGAGAACAAAAGGCAGCGCCAGAGAAAAGGCACTCATCTTCACCACCCACAGCAAACCCAGGCACAAGAGCTGGACGGCAGTGAAGAGATGCATCTTCATTGTTTTCACCTGAATAAGTGACAACAGAGAAACGTGTTAGCAGTGGAACGCACTGCCAAAGAGTAATGTTAAATTGTAAAAAAAGAAATGTTATTTTAGGGTTAGGATGATTTACTGAAAGAATATAGGTTAAATAAGATTGAAATACAGGTGGAAAAACTGAACGCCCATGCAATCCAATGAAATAGTGTTGTGGGGTCAGTGGGCTCCTAGGCCAGAGCCTTGTTTTAAAGTGACTGTTAGACACAAAATGACCTTAGCAAATGGTCTACACTTGGACACAAAACCACCAGAAAAAGACTAAGAACAAACAATGACATCAATTGACAACATAAAGACACAAAACAAACAGAAAACAACACAAAACCACCACATAGAGACTCCTTACAACTTGAAAAGTGGGAGACAACTACAAATACTTTCAGAGCAACCACATACAAAACAATCACATAGATGTGAAAGCACCAAAAACAAATGCTGCGAAAAAAGATAATAATCTTAGGATATTTGTCCACTGAGATGGCATAGAGCAGTATTAATAAATAAAGTATCACGCATACTGGCAACAACAATGTAATACAAAAAGCTGAATCACTACTTTAAATATTAATTTAAGAAATTACAGCCATAACGTGTTGTGTGTAAACACTATGAGGCTGTGAATATATTTGGACATGATACTGTGTTTGTCAGACAAAAGGGCCTTCCACATTATTGTATTATTAAACAAGGTCCTGAAGTGTATTTGAGGAGGCTGCGTACCCTGGTGGCGTAGGCTTCAGCGGGATGGTATTTCTTTGGTGTGATCAGCAGAAGCATCCTGTCCCACATCTGGATTCCACTCAGAGAGGTGACACCCATGTAGAGGAAGATTCCGAACAAGGCGGTCATGGGAATCATCTTCAGAATAGGTTCCATGAAAATAGAAGCACCTTGAAATCACAGAAAGTGAATAATTATTAAAAGCACAATATGTAACCTTTTGCCAATACGGGTCTCTTGATAGCCAAGTTGCCACTTACGACATTGCCAAGATTATCTGTATCTTAAAATGGGATAAAAAGTGCATTTATGACAAATGTGTTCAAAATGGAAATGTGTTCAGAGCCTGCTGTTTGTGCATCAGCACTGTAGATGGCAGCACCTACCAACCATAATGGCCACAAGGATTCCACTGATCCTCTGCTCAATCACCTTCTCGATCTCTGGTTTGGGACCCTTGCTCATGACAGTGAGAGCGTTGGCGTGGGTGACTGATCGCACAGTAGCAGCGCTCAGCCAGGGCACCCCGAAAATAGAGGCGATGCCCCCCATGATGACCAGGAGCAGCAGATCAAAATGAAAACCAGACCCTTTCACCATCTTCCTTTCAGGTTTGCTCACAATCAGCCTGGCAATCAGACAACAACAGCGTTAAACACAAAGTAATATTGGAGACTATAATGCCGTTATTTTATATGGTCACTCACGTTGTAATCTGGGACTCCAGGAAGATGAGGATGAAGACGAGCACTGCTGGTACACAGCAGGCACCCATCATCCAGATGGGGAAGGACTTCTTTTCTCCCATGGGGTTGATAAACCAGCCTCTGACTTTGGGGTTGGTCACCTCAATGCCTTTTGGCACAACCAGTTTCTACAAGGGGACAGGAAGATTTTCATTCATCTCATTTATCTACGGAAGAGTGTTAGGCCCAGGCATAAGAAGAACATAAAGGAGCAGAGAAAGAGAGAAATATTTATTTAAGTTTTGAGAATAAAGTGGAACCTTTAGTATGTGCTGGTAGTTCTTATGATATTTTAAAAAAAATCATGGAAAGACAGATAAACAGACGTATTCCTTCAGCATGAATACAATTAGTGTGTTAGCTATAAGCTTAGTCATATTTTTAGGAAGGACAAAACATAAAGAGATTTGTAAACAGGAGCATTAAAGGTGGGGTAGGTAATTTTGGAGAAACCATCTCGAGTTCGCTTGAATTTGAAAATACACAGCCCGAACAAATCTGCCACTTCCTTACAGAGCCCCTCCTCCAACACACATGAACGCGCACATGACCAATGAGGGCACGAGATAAGTTTGTGCACAGATGGAAGGCTGACAGGCAGGTAGGCCATCCAGTTATTTTAGCCGGGCCGGCTAAAATGATTGGTCGTGCTTTTTACAGTATTACGGCTTCCACAGATGCATTTTTTTATGGATTTTTTGTCAAAGCACTTAAGATATTCATTGCTATCGGGATGTTAAGAGCATTCCATGGAATATAACAAAAAGTGTATCTCGAGCCGGTTTCTCAAACTTACCTACCCCACCTTTAACTTATTTTCATGGTTAGAAACTGTATTTTACAAAAAGTCTTAGACAGACTGCTTTAAAGATGACAGCTTTAGTTTCAATTAGGAAAAGGCTGTCTGACAGCGAGGTCAAGCAGTGAAAATATTCTAAATATATTATACACTTAAATTGATGTTTTCTTTTATTAAAACGTTTAAGTGCTCCCTTCGTCCGTCAACAGCAGTACATTGCTTTGTTTTGTGCCTGTACTTATGTGTTTCTTCAAACTGGGTGTGTGCAGACTGCATTCTACTGTAGATAACACACTGACTTTGGATAAGTACCTAGTACAACCCAACTTCAAAAGATCTGAACAATCGCTTTATTGCACATGATGTGGTGCATAACATTAGTTTACATTTTTTTATTTTGAGAATTGTTAGACCTAGTTTTAGATGACGTGCCACAACATAACACTTACCTGAGTGTAAGCATCCGCAATGTTGATATCGATAGCAATCATGAAGAAAATAGCAATGGGGACACCGAAATCTCCAATCAAACGACGGATCTAATAAGACAACCGTTTACATCATGGTCAGGGAAATCACAAAACCTACTGAGTCTTTTCAAAACTACACAATTTCTGGTCATACAAAGTTGATCTTACTGGGCCAGGGAAGTAATGACCATTCTTGAAATGGCGGAGGAAGTACGCAATGAAGAAGCAACCTAACATAAGGCACATAGAAAGCAGGGCAGTGTTGGGGTAGGCCCTTTCAATCTCCTTCTCATCTTTGGTTACGTTGTCATGGTGATCGACCACGACTATGTGGAAAGGGTTATCCAATGTCTCGTTCAGATGTTTATAGTTCAGAACCAGAGGGTGGGCTTTGAAGATCTAAACAACAGGAGATAAGAAGTCAGAGGAGGCAAAATAGGAGACAACACATGTGGCTATGACAAGGAAATGGTGTCTGAAGATGATGTGGTGGGGAAACCTTGATGAGCTTATTGAAAGTCTCGTAGATGAAGATGAGAGAGATGAGGATGGAGAAGATTTCCTGAGTGAAGCGGGAGATGAATTTGACCAGGAAGCTGCCTTCCACAGCCACAATGATGATCACGATCAGTATGAGCCACATGCCTACCCAGATACGGCCCACAATGTACTCAATGTCCTGGGACTTGCAGAACTATAGAATACAGAAAAGAAAATATATTGCAAAGAATGAAAAAAAGCGAATCAAATATTTATTTTATGAGTTTTGACATCTGACAACTACAGAACAGTAAAAAAGTGGAGGAATATATGTATAAATATTTATGTAAAGAAAGTCAAAATGTCATTAACGATTTCCTTTCATTTGAATGTATTGCCTTTATTAGCTTTATTCTTGAAACGTTAAATAAAAGTAATTCTTTCCTCCCTTCATTTATTTCACTCCTATGACTGGCCCTTATACTCTTCCATTTACATCTCATACATACAGCGTAAAAAGCTTCCTCGAACACCAGCAGTGGTCCCGAGAAGCCGATGACGAGGACAGGCTGGGCGGCGATGATACAGAAGATGATACCCTGGATGCTGGTGGAGACCATTAGCTCTGACACGCCCATCAATTGTTCAGTTTTGTCAGCTAGAGTTAGACGACAGAGAGATATATTAATTAACCAAACTTGAAAAGGCCAATAGAGTCCTGCAAATGAATTGAATCTTAGAAACATCTCTATATGGATCTCTCTTTTACCCAGAAGCCCTCCGAAAGTGATGGCAGGGGACAGGGCAGCGAAGTAGATGAAGATGACGGCGGCGAGGACCTGAGGGTTCAGAGCGTCTGTGTAGTCACTGATGTAGTGGCGGTAACGCCGCTTCAGGTCGTTCACCATCCCTCCGAAAGGATAGCCTGTACGGGCCAGAGGGTCCTCCCGGGGCTCCTCTGGAGCTTTCTCAACTGGACAAACAAATCAAACCGACCTTAGCTTATCAATCCAATATATATATATTTTTTTAATTAATACCTGTTAAGTTACTTTCTATCACCAAATAATGATTGAGTGTATGGCCCACTGATTTAAGCTCTTGCATTTGCAATAATACAGTGTCTGTGGTGTCCTGGGAAAAATCACAAGCGCCAATATAAACGTTACTATAATTTCCCTATAGAGGCTTTATCTGTCGGTTTTGTAATTGTTTATTGTGTAATTACCTAAAGTTGACACAAACATTTGAAATACATAAGTTTGTAATGTACTTTTTCAAGCATTCCTTGAAAAAAAACAGCACCTTCATTCTTTGTAATGCCTAATGTTTAATGAACAAAGGGTTGAGACAATATGTAAACAAAAATTATATTTTGGTCAAAGGACTGGCTACATTAGTAGTGAGGAACTGATAATGCATACACAAGTGTAAAAAGAATAGTTTGACGTTGTTGAAAATATGCTGACCTTTGACTCTTTCACCAAAGGCAAGACGAGTGTCGGTGGGACGCAGTCTGTCACACAGCATCTTCTTCTGGTAATCGATGATTGGCACCAGCATATCCTTATCTTGGATCTCAGTGGGAGGAATCACAATGCTGCAGTCCATGAAGTCAGCAATGGCGTTGGTCAGATCTTTGTCAGTCTCAGCCAAGAAGGCCTCCAGACAGAACACCTGTGAGAGCAGAAAGCCTTTATTCACCTGCACCAAACAAAGTAGGCTTAACTAAAGCTCCATTCTGCCGAGCTAGAATTGTTCTCCTTCAGTACTTTCTCCTTTCTCTCACCCAGTCTGCCATCAGAGCCCCCATGGAGCGGCCACTTTCGCTGTAGTCTATTCCACAATCGCTGGGGCCCACCAGCACAAAGACGAAGCGAACCGGGACAGGAGACTCCAGGGAGGAGTCCATGACCACAGAATCCCTGAGCCTCACAAAACCCACTACTGGTTTCTGCAGGATGTCCACGACACCTATCAAAAACAACCTCTTTTAGCCATATCTGCTCCAGAATCACACATGAAGACAGATGGCTGCCTCTGAATGTCATCAACATACCTGAGAGGACAATTGAGGCCTCCATGTTGTCAGAAGTGTCTCTCTGGAAAAAGTATGCATTGTTAGTTCAATCACATTATATATACGTAGATGTCCAGCTAAATGTAAGGAAGCCGTGAGAGGCAAGTGAGAAACAATTATAATTCTGATCAAAATAGTTTTTTTCTTTCTTTCTTAGAACTTAGAAAAATGTCCCTGGCAAAACTTTAGTTTTACATGGAAAAACTATTTATATAATTCACAGATCATTCTTTAAAGAAACTTAGAAATATAATTACGGTAAAACCATTTTTTCACACAGGTGATACAGCTATTAGGATTGGATTCAGAAAATTGACCAAAAATGATTTTCTCACTTGCTTCTCAGGGCTTCCGTACAAATAATGAAGGTGGATCAAACTGTATAACAAACTAAATGTATACCTTCTTTGTCACTGAAAAAGACTGCATCTCAATGTCTCCAGATGGAGTAACCACAGGTGCTGCAGACTGACTGAAAGGACAGATACAATGAGAATGAAGTGCATGATGCAGACATGAAGTCTGACATTTCGAAGAAAGAAACAGAGTATTAGTGGATCCATGTGTTACCTGCGTCTCATGAGGAGAGCTCTCAGCAGGCCGTCACGATCACTGGCACGAATCTCATTCTTGTTCAGCAGCTCATCCACCACCTTCTCAGCCACAGAAGACAGACTGCTGGCGTTCAGGTCGAGGATGACAGCACCTAGGTACATTTGAGTTGATTTAACTGGTCATAAGCATCAAACTCTAAAAACGGGACTTATACACAGAATTTCATTACATCTCAGGTTCCAAAGTCACCTGTGCTCATGGTCTTTCTGAGCTGGATCAAGCTCTTGAAGGAGAGATGGGAGACATGAGAAGAACTCCATTTTCCAGTGGCGGGGTTTAAGTTCTCTTCGTAGCCCACCCAGCGTCCAGTCTCCTGCCAGGTGCTGCCCTGGAGCTCATTCAGCTCCACATATGCCTATGGTAATGCAATGTGGTTAAATAAAAAACACATTAGTGGATAGTGTTGTTTTGTGTGAATCAAATTTCACATATGTAAGTATGAAGAGTGTAGACTTACTTGAGCATCGCCTCTTGTGGTGGCATTTGTATTCAGGTTCAGATAAGCTGAAATAAAGACACAGAAAATAGCTTGATGAAAAAAAGGTCTCATCCAAAATAGCAAATACTCGTAAGTAAAAATCCTCCGGTCAAATATTTACTCGATAAAGTAATATCTAAATATAATAAATGTAGTATGGAAATAAAAAGTATTCATTATGCAGCAAAATGGTTACTTTACTGTTTAACTAATATAGGGATTTAGTTAACCGAATTTGGTCAATTCAAGATAAGTTCAAGAACCTGGAATTTGTACTTAGGTACCATATTTGAGTAAATGTACTTTCATTTTTAGTTTTAGATTTTAGTCTACCACTGCAGGAAAGTTATTTAAAAAGTGGCTAATAGCTACACGGGCTGTGAAGGGAACCATACCCTCTGAGTCTATGGGGAGGACGATGGCTCCAACATTGGGCTCATTCTCCTCTGCATCTTCCTGCCTCCTGGCCTCAGTGTCATAGATGCCGCTCCTGTGTTGAGAATCAGTCACACCAATTTAGACAAAGGATGAGCACGAGTGCTTCAACAACACCTCATAAAGTCTCACCTGTAAAGTTATTCAACTCAGAATCGATCGACAGAGGACACTTTGGAAACATTTTTGTGGAATATGCACCTTTACAAAAGTGAATGTAAGTAGAATTTCATTTGAAGCATGTATTAATAACAATTACTCAAAAACAATTCAAGGTTCTCAGTTTGGGCTGATCAACTTCCCGATTGATTGAATTGCTGCCTTTAGTGTTGTTCAGTCCTTCACCACTAGAGGGCAATGTTGTTCAATATCTACTTTTACATTACACTTACAAATTCCTCCTAATTTGCAAAGATTGAGCCTACCTCAGCTATGGCCCCTAGCATCCAGGGAAAGTTATTATACACTTTAAGGTCCAACATTTAAATTGGTTTGTGAATATTACTTTTCTCTGAAAATAAACAAACAGAAGAGCAACATCAGCCAGTCCATGATCTCCATTGAAGGGACATTTACCTTGATCTTTTTGTAAATACTCAATGTTTTTTAAATGAATTGCAAGCTTTAAGCATGAGAAAAGGAAATCAGCATGTTCAGCATGACTTTTACCTTAAACCTGTGTTAAAAGTTTGTGTCATTGAACATTATCAACCGTAAATGCTTGTTACAGTGATGGTGTGTTAGCTATTAACACACTCAGCAGAAATAACCGCTTTACATTACATTTTAGGCCACCTAATGAATATAAATCCAAAATGTATTCTCTTTTAGCTTTGGTTTGGTCTCCACCATCTCCTGAGTGAAACATCTGACGCTACTTCACAAAGTTATTGTTTATCAGAACATTTTCACTTGAAAATATCAGGGCCTCAATTAGCAACTTTTTCTAAATGTCGATAACTCTGCAGATTATTTTTCGATTAATCATTTTGGCTATGAAATGTAAAAAAATAGAAAACTTGATGTACCGGTATTGGTACCAGAATGATACTGGGCAATAACAAAAAAGTGGATACGACATGATGCTACTTGAATGCAGGGACTAGATTAGGGAGCACTGCGAGACATGCTCAGTGGTCTTATCACAAACATGATGCATAATACCAGCGTACATTTACAAAAAGGCCCTACTGAGAGATGGACTTACAGCCTTGGTGGGGAGCGGAACGCTGACTCGATGTCTTCAGAGGACGTGTCACAGCCCTATACAAGAGGATAGTTTAGGAAGAATTAATAGAAGAAACTTGAGTGGTGAATGGAATGTACATATAAAATGAACAATACTATGTTAGATTTAAGGAACACATCATAAACAATGTCCAAGATCCCTTTCTTCTGTAGAAACTGTAGTAGTATGAACTAGTAAATCTAAGTTGTATTCAACAAATGTACCTCAAAACTAAAATGGTTTTCCATTGCTGTTTTTCAGATGTTGAAGCCTCAGGTACTTTCATGCATTCCCTAAGACAGAAAAAAAAGAATGAATGAACATAAAAACAAGTCATAATCACCATTACAAATACCCATAGACTTAATGGGAACCAATGACATCAAACCTTAACACAATTATTGTTGAGTTTTGATGAACTTTTAATGCAAACAGGTGCATTTAAAGCATCCAAACAACAGAGTTTTAGATACATATTCTTCATATTCTTCAAGTACTCATTGTACAAGTACCAATGTCCTCTCATTAACTTGGCAGGGTTTAAGGAACATTTTTCTCAGCTACTACCGAGACAGTAAGGCCTGCTTTGAGCCATTTTAAGGTGGCTTTGATGAGAATACCGCCATCTACCAGCACACAGCTGCCTTCAAAGTCAGGGCTCAGAACAGATAGTCAACCAGCCGTTGAGAAAGTGAACTTAGTTATAGTTTAAATAGAAGATGCACAGAGCCTTATCTTTGGGTTACACCCTACCACCAGACACCTCTGTTCTCCTTCAGTAACAGTAGGGTGAAACAACTCAAATATAGCTACTGTAACAGCTATTAATACTAAACTTTACTTTTGGAGAATAAGTACAAATTCTGAATTTTTCATATTGAATCATTGTGCATTGTTTTCAGTGTGCTCCATTTCAATTTTACAATAAAGGTGTTAGAATATTATTAATATTAAAATATTTTTTTAGCAGGTAGCTCAACAGAGGTCAAGTGACTTCTCATCACTTTACATATTCACAAACTTGATAAGGAATGATTGCTAAATGTTTGAAATAAAAATTAAACCAACAAGTTCTTAAAACAATACCATTTAGTGGGTACAATTATTAGGCCGTGACACTATTTAATTGAGCATTAAAGCCAAAAGGATTGGGTGTAATAATTAAATGCAATACATTTGGAAAATCCGAAGAGGAGAATCCAACTAAACCCTGACCTCAAACAAGTAAAAAATGTGTGCCACAAGCATCTTGTTTGTGAAGTATAATAATAATAAAATAATTGTTAAGAATAATTTCATATGAACTCCCTTCCTTACCTCCCAAGCGAGGAAACACCCATTAAGGGTTAGAATATGCTACTTTCCCATCAGAAAATATAAAAATGTCTATCCTTTCATTCTAGTAATGCCGTCAATGTGTCTGACCCCTGCCCAGAGGGGGCCACACCCTTACCTGCAGGTACGTGCAGGTAATCCCACCTGGTCGACGGTGTCCGTCTGTCAGCCTAGACGAGCCTGGTGATAAAGTGAGCCAGGACAAACGAAAAGTACAGAGAAAGAACGAGAGGAGCGGGAACACCCATACGAAACTACGTCGACCCAAAGACCCCGTACCCCTCAACCCATCTCGTTGCTGAGCAACCTGACGGTGGGGCTAGGGGAGATAAGGCCCATGGGACGGACAAACTCCCTATCGGTCAGGGACACCTTGAGGCAGGGATATCCCAACCCTAGTTTGCGTGCTCCGCCCTCCCAGCATGCAACAGGTCCGAGTCTGGGCAGAGGCGTTGAGAGGAACATGTTTGGACCATCAGGCCTCACCTGAGGGACACACGGGGGCAAAGAGGGTAAAAAAGGGGCAACATACAGTATCAGGAGGACAGCATCTTTATACGTCATCTTGTTTACGCACTGGGGATTCCTTCATGATAAGGGAGGGTATTTCCTCTGCTCATGATGAGATAAACACATTAAAACCAACTCTGTTCATGATAGCCCTCAAGCCCACTTGGTTCGTCTTCTCCAGCTGAATGAAAGTGGAGGCTGGTGGTGTAAGCAGGTCTGATGACAGATTGTTGGCTTCAGTTTCTGAAAGGGATCAGCAAGAATGGAATAATTATGTATTGGACTTCAACTCAATGCAATTCAAGGTAGATGTGTAAACACAAGATTAATAGCTCTCATAAAATATAAAATAAGGGAGCAAAGATTACAAGAAAGAGATAAATACAGTGTTTCCCCTACCATTGTCTTGGAGGGGCGCTGCGCCCCGCCAACGGAGCCCCGCACCCCCCCTGAAATTCAAGGTCTTTAAAAAAAATTAAAATTAAAATAATATTTATTTTCTTTTATTATTATTTTTTTAATATATATATATATATATATATATAGCACCAAATTGCAACTAATCTATATCTACTGTCACTTTTCACATTGAACATGTGCTCTTTTATTAAATAAACTAAACGCTTTCATTTTAAGTTGTGAGTTTAGTGTTTTTGACCCTAAGAAACACTAATGCATTAATCAATAACAATAATCCACAGCTCCTCTCTCTGCTCCAGAGGATTTAAAAAAAAATATTAGGCAGCATCCCCCCAAAGCAGTAAACCTAGGGGAAACACTGAAATATACTGGGGTTAATGGCAGCAGCCCACTATTAGCTTGGTAGCTGTATCCAACACCATAAATAAATGTTTAGTCAAAAGGTGCAGAAAGTGCAAATGCATTGGTCGATCTATAATTTGGCGGCAGTAGCTAGGTCTGTAGGGAAAAAAAGGGTCGCCGGTTCAAGTCCCGATTGGACCAAATACAGAGTGTCGACTGGTAGCTCGAGAGGTCCCAGTTCACCTCCTGGGCCCAGTCGAGGTGCCCTTTAGCAAGGCACTGAACCCCTAACTGCTCCCTGGTACAGAAAACTGGCAGACATGTTGCTCTGTTAACGCATGGGTAGGCCCTGTCTTTGCACGTGTTTATGTGTGTATTTCGGCCTGTGTGTGTAATGTAAAATATACTAACAGATTGAAGAAATACATTTACCCCATGGGGCTTGTACAGTAGAGTTGAGGTTAACAACACCTTACTATCATCCTTGTCCTATTGACGAAGGGATTTGAACCATTGAAAAAATAAAAATAGTAAAACATTTTGAACAGAATACATTGTCAATCTTTTCACATAACCTCTGTGAATACAATTTGATGAAATTGAGCAGAATAAACCAGAGTACAGTGCCTTAAATTCGAGGTTAAAAGATAATAGCATACATTAGAGACAACTTCGAAAAAAGGAACATCATTTTGTGTCACATGTGTTAATATTGTAATCTCATATGAATAATTTGAATTCCAGATCAGATAAACATAATAAAATACAAAATGTATCAGTCTTTAATGTATGCTAAGCAGCTTCTAAGCAAACTGAGCAAATAGGCTTCTAAATTATGCAACAGTTTATCCACATGTATGGGAATATCTTCATTCCATTTTCAAATTCAACAAGCACATTAAGTGGTAAACTGAAGCGTTACGAAGGCATAACTGCAGTTCAATCTTTTCACTTATCACAAGTAAGTTGCAAATGTGACCTTGTTGCATTTCGTCATTTTCCTTATATTGCTCAAACGGCAGTGTATACTTAAAGTTTATAGGAACAAAAGTAACGGACAAGGAGCAAAGACAGTATTTTTTGATTGTGGTATTACAAAAACTTTCTTTTAAAGAGGTACATAAAAAAATGATGGAGTTGTTGTAATGTGATGTTGATGTTGTCTAATGGACAAAAGCCTCCATTCTGGTCTGCCTGCTTGTAAAATGTGTATGTCATGGCTTTACCGGGGAATTTCACATAAACAAGTCCTTTGTGTGGAGATCTTGTTCAAGCCACGTGAATTCTCAAGAAAAAAATTATAAAATATTGTCACAATGTGGAGAAACGTTACATTTGGGTTACTGCAGCTTTTTTTGACAACCTGTTAAGCCCGGCAGCCCCCGCTCACAAAACTGTGTCTCAGGGCTTCTAAACATTTAATAACCTATTAATGTGTCATACCCACTTAACGGGAAGAAACTCAGCTAACTGACGATATGAACCATTTTTAGCTAAACAAAACACAACTCTAACGCCAAGCCTCTGAATTAGCACTAAGCGAAAAAATGCTAACGCACTTAGCACAGAACTCACGGTAGAAATACTTTATTACTTATCGGATCTGCACAAACAAGATATCAGCTAGCAAGCTGAGATTCCACAGATTCTAGGGGTATAAGTATCACCACTGAGCGATCAAAACTCGCGGCAGGGGAAGCAAACCCAGACATCACACAACGTAGTTTTACGGAGCAAAAACAGAAAATAAGTCTTACCGTTGCTGTTGTTCTGATCAAAAGTTGTGTTCAATGGCATTAAAACGATAAAAACGCTGCAGAAGGTTAATCCATAGGTTAATCCGATGTGTCTGTGTCACTTTGAAATGATTACTGATAATCCATCATTCCATTTTTGTCAAAAACAGAGATTTCATATTAGCTGCTATTAGAACTACAACCCAGCTTCCGGTTTTGGGCATTCTGGCTATGCATCACTCATTCACCAATGGGTAATGTTTAGATGGATTTGATGAACTTCCCCTCGATTCTATTGGCTCTAACGGTTCAAAAGAGGTGTCAATCATCAACATCGACCGAGGGGTTCCAGTGATATGGAAAATGCACCCAAATGACCCCAGAAGTGTTTTTTTTCTTCTTCTAAATCTCTCTAAAAACGTCAAATGTCACTTGTTTTGCATCAATCTTGATACAGGGTACTTATATGTTATAGTTTGGATTCCTAAAGCTTTTAGTCTACTATCCCATCATTCAAGGGTGGTTTTCACTATAAGTAATGTTTTTCTTTTGGAAGGACACTATCATTTTTATTTTTTTACTATGTTCAATCTGAATTTACTTTAAAATAAAAAAATGATATATTGATTCTGACTTTACTACATCCAACTCACAGGTTTATCATTGCTTTGAGAAAAAAAAGATTATTAATTTACCCCTTTTAGAAGTGAAGTTATAGTCATTTGTTCTGGGAATGTCATTTTCGAGCCTGAGACCTGAAAAACAGGCTCAAGGCTTAACAGGTTAATCTATTCCAATGTGTGCTTTAAATCACTTTTGCCAGAGTGGGAGCCTGAGTCACGGGTGATATAAAGGAAATAATTCAAAAGAAAAGATAACGCTTGACTTCACAAGTCCTGAAACTA